AATTCTGCCATCCTTTTTGAAAAAAGAACTGTGGCTATAAAATTTTTATTCGTTAAGGAAACAAAACCAATGTTATCAGAACCATAAATTTTAATGAACTTGCGATAGTTAAACGTTCTATTAAGGTTTAATTCCTCAATACTGCGCTTGCGCATTAATAGGCGATGGTTACATAACGTCACGTGTGTAGGGCATGATGAGAGAGAAAGTTTGTGTGTTCATATCTCAAGAATTGCTGATCTAATTTGAATGGTACTCTGTTTATTGGATAGTTCAACGTTGTATAAGGTCAATACTAATTCAGATTAATGTAAATAGATTTTTTTATTGAGATGTTAAATACTAAGCTATTATACGATTAAGAGTCCCGTTGTGACTCGAAATTAGTCGAACTAACTTGAAAAATAAGCTATTCTAGTTATTTTTTTTGTACTTGTTTATTATTTTACTTCTGTGATTTAGGCATGTCACATGATAGGATGAATATAAAAATAATAAAACTTGTTATTCGAGTCTCCAATATGATTATCGGCGATAACAAATCGTTTGAAATAAAATATGTTTGTAAACAAATAAGAATTCAATAAGTGTAACTAAATATAGGTATGTGAATCCATTCATAGCGGCTCCATACAAAATCAAATTAAATCAGCCACATAGTCACAGTTATGCAAGTATCGAGGTATTTTTTATTTAAAAAAACGTTGCCCCACACTAGGATTTTCTCCTGTGTCGTAGGTGCGTTTACAAACATACAAGTTCACATACACATGACGCCCAGACTCGGAACCACAATTTGTGGATCACACAAAGAGTTGATCCGTGCGGGAATCGAACCCGCGACACGTTGCGTGGTTGCCCATCTACCGCACTAACCGTGTTGTCGTTTTTTGACTTTACTGGAAGGTACATATTAGTGAGTTATTTTAAAGTACTTCGGAACTATTCGCAGATTTATTAGTAGGTAATTATTTACTATGTTTAGAGAAAATTAATAGTCATTAATTTGATATTTATGTTGTCGTTTTGTGCAATAACCAGCAGATCTTCAATTTGTTTAATTTATTCATTGGATTTTCGACTTTATGTCAATATAATACGGTTAGACTGTAGGCTACGCGACATCGCCGCGACCGCGCACGCTGCTTATGAGGAAGCCCCTCTGTGGCTCGAAACTAGTAAAGCTTTTCTCAGTATATACACGTGAGTAACCCGGGATTTTTAATTCATTTAGTATGTCTTACGATAATTATTATAAAACTAGCTGTTGCCCGCGACTTCGTCCGCGTAGATTAATGACTTTTGACAGAATTAACCAGAATCAATTCAGTGCCCAAGTAAGATTTACTTATTTTGAAATGATTTATCGTAGTTTCAATAAATAAATAATCCCGCAGGGATCTTACCAGTACAGTGCCCGATCACGTAAGGTTTGAGTAATAAAAACTATTCTATCGACTATTGTTGTACCGAATCTCTCTAGAATAAGTTCAGTGGTTAAGAGTTAGAGAGTCCTGGGGCATTGACGCATAGTTCCCGTTCTCGTGAGACATCTGTGAAAAAATTATCATACGTTACCCAGGTCCCAAATCATCGTTTTACTGAATGTAATTTAAAAAGATTCAATGATTCTAAATTCAATGGCTAAGAAGATTTATACAAACTCTCATTCCCTATTTTATCCCCTTAGGGGTGGAATTTATCAAAATCCTTTCTAAGGAGATACCTATGTCATAGCAACTTTATGCATGCAAAGTCTCAGCCCGATCAATTTAAAACTGGCAAAGTATCATACAAACTTTCACCCCCTATTTTACCCACTTTGGGGTGAGAATGTTCAAAAACCTTTCTAAAGGGACGTTTAAGTCATAATATCCATCTGCACGCCGAATTTCAACCCGATCGGTTTAAAACTGACAAAGCTTCATACAAACGTTCATCCCCTACATTACCCCATTGGAGGTGGAAATAATCAAAATCCTTACTTGGGGATGCCTACGTCATAACATCTACCTGCATGCCGAATTTCATCTGCATCGGTGTAAAACTGACAAAGCTTCATATACACTTTCACCCCCTATTTTACCCCCTTAGGGGTGGAAATGATCAAAATCCTTTCTTAGCGGATGCCTATGTGATAACATCTATCTGCATGTCAAATTTCAAACCGACCGATTTAAAACTGACAATGTCTCATATAAACTTTCATCCCCTATTTTACCCCCTTGGGGGTGGAAATTATCAAAATCCTTTCAAAGCGGATGCTTAAGTCATAACATCTATCTGCATGCCAAATTTAACCCGATCGGTTTAAAACTGACAAAGTCTCATACAACCTTTCATCCCCTATTTTACCCCCTTGGGGGTGGAAATTATCAAAATCCTTTCACAGCTGATGCTTACGTCATAACATCTATCTGCATGCCAAATTACAACCCGATCGGTTTAAAACTGACAAAGTCTCATACAAACTTTCATCCCCTATTTTACCCCCTTGGGGGTGGAAATTATCAAAATCCTTTCACAGTGAATGCTTACGTCATAACATCTATCTGCATGCCAAATTTCAACCCGATCAGTTAAAATCTGACAAAGTTTCATACAAACTTTCATCCCCTTTTTTACCCCCTTGGGGGTGGAAATTATCAAAATCCTTTCTTAGCGGATGCCTACGTCATAACATCTATCTGTATTCCAAATTTTAGCCCAATCTGTCCAGCGGTTTGGGCTGTGCGTTGATAGATCACTATGTCAGTCAGTCAGTCAGTCAATCACCTTTGAATTTTATATATATAGATACAATATCTATATCTATACATATATAAAAGAAAGTCGTGTTAGTTACACTATTTATAACTCAAGAATAGCTAAATCGATTTGGATGAAAATTGGTGGGGAGGTAGCTTAGAACCAGGAGACGGACATAGGATACTTTTTACCCAATTCTTTTATTTTACTTTTTACCGAAAATCAAGAACGGGAACGGGAAATATCGGGATTGCGCGTACGAAGTCGCGGGCAGAAGCTAGTATGTTGTAATAATATGTTGAAGAAATAATAGAGAAAGACAGAAAACTATACGTTGGCTGGCCATCGTACAAAATAAACACCAAAATTAATATATAGGTACATACATTCCATAACTATTCATTTTATAATGCAACAATGTCTATGTGTAATACCTATATATTGAAGTAGGTATATTCGTATGTATGTATGATCGGAATGTGCCGAGTAAAGCAAATTATAAAGTTGTTATTGCCGTGTCTATGACAAAAACAGCTGATGGTGTTTTTCTTTGATATCATTTTAAAATTGGTAATACATAGAATAGAAGTGATATCAATCAATAGGTTTGACTTAAATATTTCAAAACCTTAATTATTATTTTTTTCGGCTTACTCACGTAATTATTTGACGACGAAGTCACCTAGTAAAATCTCAATAATCGCACGGAGTCTGGAATTGTGCCCGGTATAAGGCAATAGGCTCACCCCCTATTACATGGGACTCATAACATAAAAGTGAAAAGTGGGCGCCACATTGTACAGTGGCTTTAAGTGCCGTAATGTGCACCTCTGCCTATCCCTTTGGGGATAAAAAGGCGTAATGTTATGTTATGAGTAGACGGATCACCTGATGGTAAGCAATCGGCGTCGCCCATGGACACCTGGAACACCAGAGGCATTACAAGTGCGTTACCGGCCTTTTGAGAATTAGGAGTTTAAGAATCGTTGGGGATTCACCTGACCTCGCGAGCAAAGCTGCAGGTTATAGTTAATTATGTTTATATTAGGTATCTGTGGCAAGCTGGCCATTTATGTTCTTCTTTTGTTTATGAAATATATGCAGTGTTCTTATTTTTAATTCTCACGTATAATAATTATTGCATTATATTTTGAAAATATATAACAGTAGTAAACCTAGGCCCTTTGTCTTACTACGTTACTGACCTCATTGGTAAAATCCTTCATATAACCGGATATTGCCGTCACAATAAAGGTATATACGTGAAGGAAAGGACACGGTGGAACACACGGTGGGAGAATGCCCTTCGTGGGCTGAGCACCGCCGTGTCCTCAGGGAAGTGATCGGCGATGGCGACCTCTCGCGTCCGGGCCTAGTGCAGGCCATGATGCGGAGCGAGGGGGATTGGGATGCCGTCTCCTCCTTTTGCGAAGCAGTCATGCTAGCTAAGGAGGAGGCGGGACGCGTGAGGCAGCTAAGCGCTGCCTCCTCGCAACCCAGCCATCGTGAAGGACACACCGGGCGTCGGGGATCGCGGGACGATCTCCGGCCACCGTAAGCGCGGGCCTGCGGACGGCGAGCATGGGTGGCTCCCCGTCCGACCAGAAACAGACCCGAGCGTACGGCGCGTCGCGTTCCGCGCGCGCCTCAAAGAGCCATCAGACCACCACAGATGGGGTCCAATAGGGCCGATGCCGATTCGGAGTCGCGGAGAACCTAACGGGTAACCGGGGCTCCGGCTCGACGTGCAGGAGAAGGAACGGGGTGGTTTTTAGTCAGTAAGAGTCTGACACTCCCTCCCGCCTCACCCAGGCGGGGGCAGTCATTCGATGATTTTCCCCCCTTAAAAAAAAAAAAAAAAAAAAATACGTGAAGGAAGGAAATATGACAGAAAATGCGAGTGGATTGTAAGGCACTCATCCTGTTTACCCCCATGAGACTAGTGCATGAGGTTATGATTATAAACATAACATTGAGGTTGGTATACCGTTTACCGTATACCAACCTCAATAGGTAGGAAAAGGAAAAGGTAGACGTCATAGGAAATTGAGAAGTACGTAGTACTAAAACTGCGACCATCCATCGAGGAATAGTTTTTAGGTTTTCGGGTTTTCTGCGATCCCATGCTATTTGCCCGTTGTGGGCGTCATGGTAAACCCTCCATAAAGTAAGCGAATCAATGCTGCTTTTCCGGGTCCATTTTACGACCTCTTATAAAGGTAGAAGATAACCAAATAAAATAATAAACTCACCCATAGTAGCCATAACGAACTGGTTGGCGACACCTCCATGTTTGAGGCGCGCGACCCATCGCACCGGAAGTACACCGAACATGATGCGTGCACGCAGCCGCGCCGCTTCCGGTATTGCGCGCGAGTCCGTCTCTCAGTGGCGCATGATTTGTTTTAAGGAATCTGTGGAAGAATAAAAAACAATCAAATATAATTTTACGGTTTTCAAAATAAGAATCATATTATGTCTTAACACTACATAGTATTATTTTCTAAATATTCAGTAATCCAACTGTTAAGCTATTCTAAGACAACAATTTGAATTTTCGAAGTGATTGTCGATCGTAGTGATTATTCTCACAACTGATGACTGAATGACATAGCCGACCGCGATCGAGTTCACTTGGATCTTCTGAATTGAAAGTTATACATATAATAGTATAGCAGATCATAATTGGGTTAGATATGCCGTAATCCCCTCTGAAGATAAAGGTCTCTGTAGAGCAATGGACGTATTTATTTTAGATGATGATCAATATTTTGGGTTCATTAAATTGCACAATTGATGCAGTGGCTGAGTGGATAAAGAAGAAAGAAGGACCAGAAGAAATGAAGCCGCTGGTTTGATCCTCGCATCGAAAAAAACAACTTAACATTTTTTCGGATAAAAATATAACGCGTTTTGCAATTATGCACGAATTTTGAAATCGATGTCTAATCGCCGTCTCAAAAAGAGCTCATTAATCCGTTAGTCCAAATTGTAACCCAAACATTTTAGATAGGTGTTATGACCAGTCGGAAACCCAAAACATCTATTTTTGCTTCACGCCTTCAGATATAGGTCACCTATTTTAAATGAATGCACTAATAACCTTGACCTAGACCTTAAGACAGTCTAAGGTTGTCTGGGTGTGTACTCATTAGCATTGCATAGTTTGATAAACTGAAATAGTCCATTGTACTCTTTTATTAAGGTATTGTATTCTCTTTTAAGATCTTCTGATGTGCATTAGAGCGGTTCGATCTTAGCGTTGGAATTTTGTGTGTCAACAGGCCGTTGGGACTTAGCTTTAACCATTGTTTGTTTTACGTCATAAAAAGATGCGCATAGGAAAACATAATGTTGGAAATATATAATCAAAATCGTGTTTTAATAAAGTAGGATATATTTGTGACGGCGTTTGGCGCTGTGATTGGCCGGCTCCAATGAACCAATAAGAACGCAGAACGCGGTCACGTAACGTAAAATAAACTCAACTTTAAAACTATGACCTCCAATCCGCTCGCAAGGACCTACATTATACCAAACCCTCTTCCGTAGAGGCAGTTCATAGTCCACAGTCAGACTTTCACGGATGACAAATTATTTAGAACACAAACACATATACGGAGCGTCAATGGAAATTTAAACAAAACACTATGACAATTAAACATTTTATCTACAGCATGATCTATTTTGTCAACCGTATTGTAGGTTAGATGTATCATCATTCCAAAAAAAAGAACAATTGCCGAAACATATGACCGTCTCGTTAATTTCCGAGTTCCCGTATTTTGTTCCGAAATTTAATTAGCCTTGGTCAGCGGCATCGTGAAATTAGATCATTCTGTACAATGCGGTCATTGTTTAGCGCGGTACAAGTGCTAAAATACTAATTTGTAGCGTATGTAGTAAGTGATGACTTTTGTTTCACGTTTTAATTGTTTTTATTTAGAGAGTTTGAGTTTGGAACTGATAGCAAACTACTATCAGTGATATCACACCCAATATTTACAAGTAGAAGGCTCATTAGCCTTTCTTTGTGATCTTCTAGAGACGTTGTACGCTGTGGTTTCTACCTTTATGTTGTAATACGAATTAAGAATATCAAACTCTCCAATCAACGGTCTCACAAAGCTCTCGCTGAGCAAAGCCTCTTCTCACACGGAGAAGGTTTGAGCATTAATCACCACGCTTGCTCATTGTGGGTTGGCGATTTCAAACTGATAATTAGAAAAAATTACAGTAGTAGTATAGTAGTAGTAAGTAATCTTACAAAGTACAAATAGCTCGGAAAAAAGTCACATTAGTACTTGCCGTTGGTCAGTTTCGAAGCCGCACCCTCATGCATGAGAAATGGGCGTCTTAACCTCCGGCAGTTTTTAGTATGGAAGAATTGTCAAATATTGAAAATTATTCCTCAGTTAAAAATTATATGGCTATGGAAAATTGACCCTTATTCATTTAATTCTTCGAGCTTTGTTCTGACTGCATTCCATAGTTGTCTAGGGAAATAATCAGTATCAGTTATGTAAGTACCATGTACTATGTAGCTTTATTTGTACCAGGAGTATATATCAAGGTTACTATAACACCATTCACTTGTGGCAAAGGCGATTGATATTATTAAAAAGAAACTGTATTTTAAAGAGTTTAGAGCTTATTGTCATCTGACATGGATTATGATGGTGTAGGTTGAGTAGAGTATGGCTGTTTCCATAGTGATTTTCATATTATTCGAATACTTTAAACTACGAGTTGACTTCATTTTTTTTGAGGGGTAATTATCGAATGTCTGTTCTCCGCCTGGGTGAGGCGGGAGGAAGTGTCAGATTCTTACTGACTAAAAACCACCCTGTTCCTTCTCCTGCATTTCGAGCCGGAGCCCCGGTAACCGGTTAGGTTCTCCGCGACTCCGTATCGGGAGTATAAATTGGATTGATAGAAGTCATAGAGGGATCCTATCCTCAACAATAGACATTTTGTAGCTAATCTGAAAAAGAGGTTAAAATGAAGTAAGTCTATAAAGAACGGAGGGCAATTCCAACCAACGTATCTCAAGAAAAGTCTAGAAGAAAGATCAATCACGCTAACCTAGACCCTTCTAATCACTACCACGGGGTCATAAGCCTCTGGTCTGGCGTGATAAGCCAAGTCTAACATATGATAGTTCATCTAGTGGCTTATCAGTTAGTGCACACGTGGTAATGTTATCTCTGCATAATGATTGGGAATTCAAAAGAAACATTGCTTGTGTGACCTTGACCTTGTGTGTTTTATTAAAAAAAAAGGTTTTAAAAGTTTAAAATCCTAATTCCTGGGAACTGATTTTAATGAAATTTGGTATTTAGAGACGTGAACAAAGAAAGGTAGTTAAAACATTGTTAGAAAAGAGAGATTTTAAGTTTGTGGTAACTATCGCGCTGTTGCGTCGGGGGTCGCTGAATACTGCTCATGAATATGAGCCTCTAGCATGGCTTGAAACTAGTGATGCGGTGATGTCGTGGTGGCCCGGAGGTTAAGATGCCCGCTTCTCATCCATGAGAGTACAGGTTCGAAACCTTCCAACGGCAACGGTACTTGTAGCAAAGTGACTTTTTCCGAGTTATATGTACGTTCTAAGATTATTTAGACACCACTGACAAACGGTGAAGGAAAACATCGTGAGGAAACCTGGACTTATAATTTCTAATTATTAGTTCGAAATCGCCAACCCGCATTGAGCAAGCGTGGTGATGAATGCTCAAACCTTCTCCGTGTTAGAAGAGGCTTTGCTCAGCAGTGGGCACTTATAGGCTGTTGATGATGAAATTATAATGTGTATGTGAACTTGTATGTCTGTAAACGCACTCACGATACAGAAGGAAATCCTAACCTAAAAGTATTACAAACTTAATACACCAGTAATAGAGCTGTTGGTCGAGTGATTCTGTAGCGTCCCAGTGACAATCTAAACAATAATTTAGTTTCCCACAATTCTGTCCAAACAATGTTCTTAGAGGTGATCTCCTAAGAATAGTTGGTTATCATTATTTCAACACAATACGACCTTTCGATGAGATGCGTAATGGCAAAGACGCGTTCGTTGCCGGCTTGTTGAAAAACATTCAATTACATACGCACTCCAACGAATTAATGTCAATCAATCATTGTATTAAGCATTCCAATGCGTAGTGTGACATTCTCTCAACATTTGTGTAATGCATGTTAGATAACAGTGATTTTATGGACTTGTCACATGCGTGAGACACGTACGTCGAGATGTAGTTGCATTGTGACGTACTTGGAATTAGTGTGTTACCTATTTGGTTGTATGCGTCATTTTCATTTTGTTACGTCAATGGCGGTTGGAACTCCGAGCGTACAGTTCGGGGCGCGCCTCAAAGAGCCATTAAGACCACCTCAGATGGGGACCAATAGGACTGATGCCGATACAGAGCCGCGGAGGACTTAGCGGGTTAACGGGGCTCCGGCTCAAAGTGCAGGAGTGGGAACGGGGTGAAATTAGTATCTAGTTTATTAGTCTCTGCAGACCTCCATGGGAGACAGGCGTGAAGTTATGTATGTATGTTTATTATATTCTCTTCACCATTACATCTTTACCTGTATAAACGAAGATTTTTTTTATATAAACCTGACATTATTTTCAAACTACAAAACACAATAAAATGGCGCACCTATCAACAGGTTTCTCCTTACAAATCAAATAAATTAAACACTACACAAGGCAACAAGAAAATTATTTTTATTATTCATAAAATTTTATTACGGAGTATATTTAAAAACAATCCACGTACTGTCAACTACTACTTCTTTTAAGTTTTTAACAGGCACACTTGTCTATTATTTAGAACTGTCAACGTACATAATATTACCTACTTTATTATAAAGTGCATCCTAAAAACAACCTTTTTATTATTTCTGTCTAATTCTATCGCGAATAATGCTAATTGTTTTCCTATTGTAGAATCCGTACTGTATCTATGAACTACCATTATTTATGTATTTCCTAGCTAACATTACTTGTGGAATTTATTTATTTTAACTCTTTAGACATTGTGGGACTCCAATGATGTAGTAGATTCGTCGAAGCACATTTATGACATGCGTGATGGGAATCTATTCAATCGAAACAAAATTAATAGTGTAAAGCTGGAGCGTTTGAGTCCCGCCATGACTTGAAACTATTCGAGCTTTTCTCGAATTTTAGAATAAGTATCTAGTTTGCTTTATTTTTAATTATTGACTTCTAGGTAGCAATATGATAATGGCATAAAAGGATAAAATATTAAATGAATAGTTTTAAATAACGTTTTACTGTTGACGTACAAACGTAATTATCT